TTACACCGGCCGCTTGAGCGGAAAGGCAGCTAAACGATTTAATGGGTTTTAAAGCCCGCAGAGCTTGCGTGTGTTGGCAGAAAGCCCCCTTTCTGCAAACTGGCTGTAGGAGCGTAGTTCTTTAAAAGTGAAGAATAAAACAAGCAGTGTAAAGGAGCTGTGCGTCGCAGCGGGCTTACCAGCAGCGGCATAGCAGCCCTGCTGGCTCTACAAACTGGTTTTCTGATGTACAGTGCTAACTTGCGAATAACCGACTGTTCCTTTGTAGCTTGTTTTGTTCATTCGCTCACCAGAGGCAGGGGGTTTTTTCCCTGTTCAACAGCCACACTTTCTCCAGCAAAACGCCTTCCTTTATCCTGAGATACTCCAGCTTGTCAGTATGCTGATCAGTTTTGCCTGGATTTTAGTCTTTTAAAAATGCTCGTCTTTTTTAAAAGGAGATCCACACTTCGTATCTTTCAAGTTATATTTTCTGTGAATGTGTAAGCATTCATCCTTCCTAGGATGTCTGTTGAAGTAGCATGATAGAAGCCTCCAAAAGTGATCCAGAGAAAGAAAAGATAGTATTTTCTGTTATGTCAGGCTGAGGTTAGTGGTGGAAGAGAAACTGATTGTGTTTCCATGTTTAATAATTGCAGTTCGCTCACTACCCTGATATTTTGAATTATCACACAGGAAACATAAGTGTGACAATATTGCTAAGTATTGTTGCTTGCTTAAACTTAAATCTGTTAGGAGCCAATTTTGCAAATATTTTTGAAGGATGGCTTGCTTTTCTAAGGAGCTGTCTCTGTGAGTACGCAGCAGCTTACCCAACTAGAAGGTTTTGTTGGGCTGGCCTTACTTAGCCTTTTATTTCTACCCTTTTTTCCTCTACCAGGGAGATGAGCTCACCCCAGGTTAAGTCCTCAAAAAAGGTGATCAGTTTTTGTCAAGGTCAGCTTGCTGAGCTGTTTTACTGCCTGTTTGTGCAGGCACCAGTTCAAGCATATGCAGAGAGGGAATGGAGGTGAGGGGTGGGGAGACAGTAGCTGCTCAAATGTAAACTTTTCAGCAATGTAAACTGGCCTGCCTGACCTCTCTTGAGGATAAGTGTACAAAACCAAAAAAATAGGTAAGCAAAGGAGTACATTCTGGTACAGTTTTCATGAGGGATACTTCTTACTAAATAAATCTGTGTAATTGTGCTTCAAATCCTGTGCTCCTAAAAAGGTTCGTGTAGTTGGTGCAAGTTTTCAAATGTACAAATTTTTTTTGGAGGGTGGGACTGATGTGCTTGCCTGTGGACTCCACAGCTGCACAGATCTATAGGGATAGGAGTATGCGTCAAGCATTGCAACAGCGTTGTTTCCTAAGCAATGATTAAATAAATGTTATTCTAATGTTTGTTTCATCTGATAAGTATATTTTGTCACGTATTTATGTGTATCCCAGCTGCTTCTTACTGAAATGCTCAAAATAAAATTCTTGACAGGGTGTAGTTACCTCAGTGAGGTAAGTTTGGTTAGGTTTTGTAGGTGAATAAAGGCCCAGGTATATGTGATCTCAATTTCATTACAGTAGCTAGCCTTCCTTTTCAGGATCCCTCCCAGGTTAGTAGCTTGAAATAAAGTTTTTGCATTTAAAAAATGGTTTTCTTACGTTTGTCGTTGTTCTAGACAAAGTTAAGAATTTGCTGTTTTTCCAGTGTACCCATTCGCTCTTGGGGAAGGGACAACTAAGTTTATCAGTTCAAGGTTTCACTTAAAGGAGGTTATAACAGTTCGGACAGCTCGATGAGATTCTGGATTTCTCACTTCTCTCTCCCTGTTCTCCTCTTCCTTCCCAGTTCCTATAGGTTGTGCATGTGAGTGGAGCATAATTATATATTCTTCTCAAAAGGATTTTGTAGCAGGCTATTAAAATGTGTGACAAATGATTACAGGGCAGGAATGTGCATGAGAGATTCCAGGGAGAATCCTTCAGTTAAGAATGAGGAGGTGGTGATTTTGGTGTGTTTTAGAGCCCTAAACCCTGATTTAAATTCTCCCGTGCTGAGGATGCCTGATAGCTTCTTCAAACAGCATGTGATTTCACAGGGAAAGA